TAGAATTTCAAAAACGTGGATTACCACATATACATTTGTTAATTATATTAAATTATAAGGATTATAAGATAACAACTTCTGAAACAATTGATAAATTTATTTCCGCAGAAATTCCTGATCCTAATGAAAATGAAAGTTTACATAATGTTGTAATGAAACATATGATTCATGGGCCATGTGGAGATTGGTGTCTGATAAACGATAAATGTTCGAAACATTTTCCAAAACCATTTCGACCCGAGACAATTATGGATGAAGATGGTTATCCACAATATTGTCGAAGAAATAATGGATTGTTGTATGAAAGACTTGGACGATATGTTGTTGATAACCGATATGTTGTTCCATTTAATCCAATGCTTTTACTTTTATTTAATAGCCATATTAATGTTGAAATAGTTTCGAGTATACGGTCTGTAAAATACTTGTATAAATATATTTATAAAGGTCACGATTCTGCGTCTGTAATTATTGGAGAAAATATAGATAAAACGATAATTCATGACGAAATTCAAGATTTTATCGAAGCTCGTTATGTCGGGCCCGTGGAAGCTTGTTGGCGTATTTTAAGCAAACCTTTGCAAGAGAAAAGTCACGCTATATTTCGTTTACCGATTCATTTACCAAACGAACATAGTGTAATAATCGATAATATTATTAATAATGATGGAATAAGATCTGCCGTAGAACGAGTAACAATGTTGTTTAATTATTTTGAGTTAAATGCTCGAGATGAGAAAGCGAAACAATATTTATATACTGATATTCCATCTCATTATGTATTTAAAAAAGTTACAATTAACGGCAGAACCATTAATCGCTGGGAGAAACGTCAAAGATATTTTAATTGTATCGGTCGTATGTATTCCGTCAGCCCGTCTCACAATCAGATAGAATTGTTTCATTTACGTATACTTTTACTACATGTTAGAGGAGCTACGTGTTTTCAAGAATTAAGAACAGTTAATAACGAGATACATCAAACTTTTACCGCTGCATGTTTAGCATTAGGACTCATAGAAGATGATGAAGAATGGTATCGTGCAATGAACGAAGCAAAAGTTTGGATGATGCCAAAACGATTTCGTAATTTATTCGTACGAATTTTGATTCATTGTCAACCAGTTCATCCGAAAAAGTTATGGGACGAGTTTAAAAGAGATATGTCGGAAGATTATATAAGACGATATGGATCTACAATGGGAATAAAGAAGGTTTATAATTATATTGTTAATTTGCTTTAAATGGAAGGATCAAATATTGCTAATTTTCCTGAAATGGAACAATTAACAGAAGAACAAGAAATAGATGATGAAGAACAGATTCAAGAGGATACATTGATAGGTATGCGACAATATGAACAATTAAGCAGAGAACAAAAAGAAATTGTTGATAGTATTTTAGTAACAACAGCAACTAACAATCACAGTAATAATTGTTTTTATATCAATGGTCCAGGTGGTTCTGGTAAAACTTTTATTTATACGACCTTGTATTATTTATTTAAAAGCAGAGGAAAAGTAGTAAGTACTATGGCATTTACCGGCATTGCTGCGATATTACTTCCAAATGGGAGAACGATACACAAAGTTTTTGGGTTGCCTGTACCTCTTTTCCCAGATTCTACATCGAACATTAAAGTTCAATCTAAAGAGGCTGAAAATTTAAAACTTGTGGATGTTTTTATTATAGACGAAGCTCCAATGGCACCACGTTATGTATTAGAAATAATGGATCGAACATTACGCGATATAATGCAAAATGATTTATATTTTGGTGATAAAATCGTTCTTCTTGGTGGAGACTTTAGACAATTATTACCTGTAAAAGAAAGAGCTACGCGTTGTGAAATTATAAATTTATCGATAAAATGTAGTATTCTATGGAAACAATTTAAAATATTTTCATTGACACAAAATATGAGAACTTTACCACACAAAAAAGAATTTGCACAATTTTTACTAAATTTAGGTAATGGTTCCTTAAATGATAACTCAGATAATGTTCACATTCCAGAAAAATGTATAGCAAACGCAAACTCGGATATAGTTAAAGACATGTATGGAGACATTATAATACGTAAACAATATAAAACTATGGCTAATCACGTTATATTATCTGCAAGGAATGTCGATGTTGATGAAATAAATGAAAAAGTAGTAAGTTTGTTGGATGAAACGACAGAGAAAGTTTATACAAGTGTGGATACTCTTGAAACGACTGGAGATAATGAAGATATACATGAAATAATTCTGATAGAATATCTTAACTCTTTAAACCCAACGTGTCTTCCACCTCATGAATTACGCTTAAGAAAATACACTATTGTTATGCTTATTAGAAATCTTAGTATCAGTGAAGGTTTATGCAATGGTACCAGACTATTAGTTTTAGATTTAGATAATAACTTATTGCGTTGTGAAATTTTAACAGGTAATAAGATTGGAGAAATTGTTTTTCTTAATCG